CCATTTTCTTATATCCTCTTCAATCTCTTCTTTCAGAGTGCTGTAGTTTTCAGTGTAGAGGTCTTTTGCTTCTTTCGTTAGATTGATTCCTAGATACTTCATTTTTTTGGATGTTATTTTAAAGGAATTGTTTACCTACTTTCTCTCTCAGTAAGTCTGTTATTTGTATACAAGAAGGCTATTGATTTTTGAGTGTTGACCTTGTATTCAGCTACACTGCTAAAAGAGTCAATTAAGTCTAGAAGTCTTTTGGTGGAACTTTTTGGATCTTCATGTAGAGATTTGTATCATCAGCAAATAATGACAGTTTAAGTTCTTCTTTTCCTATCTTTATTGCTTTAATTTCTTTCTCTTGTCTAATTGCTGTGGCTAATGTTTCCAGAACTATATTGAAGAGGAGTGGCAATAGTGGGCATCCTTGTCTTGTTCCTGATTTTAACATGAAGGCTTTTAGTTTTTGGTCATTTAATATGATGTTGGCTTTTGGTTTTTCATAGATAGCCTTTATTAAGTTGAGATATAGACCATCTATTCCAATTTTTTGCAGGGTTTTTATCATGAATGGGTGTTGAATTTTGTCAAATGCTTTTTCTGAATCTATCAAGAGGATCATATGGTTTTTGTCCTTGACTCTGTTAATACAGTGTATTACATTTATTGACATATATGTTGAACCATCCTTACATCCCTGGTATAAATCCGACTTGGTCAAGATGTATGATCTTCTTGATGATCCTCTATATTCTGGTTGCTCGTATCTTATTAAGGATTTTTGCATCTATATTCATTAAGGAGATTGGCCTGTAGTTCTCTTTTTTAGTTGGGTCTTTCCCTGGTTAGGGAATCAAAGTGATACTTGCTTCCAGGAATGAATTTGGAAGTATTGCTTCCCTTTCAATTTCACTGAAACGTTTAAAGAGTAGTGGCAGTATTTCTTCTCTAAATGTCTTGTAAAACTCAGCTGTTGAATCCACGAGGACCTGGGCTTTTCTTTGTTGGTAAACTTTTAATTACATTTTTAATTTCACTGATTGTAATTGGATTATATAGATTGTTTTTATCTTCTTCATTCAACATTGCTAATTCATAAGTATTTAAAAATCTGTTCTTTGTTTTCCATTTTATTAGACTGCAGGTTCTCAAAGTAGGTATTGATGATCCTCTGGATTTCTGTTGGATCTGTTGACTTCACCTTTTTCATTCCTAATTGCATGGATCTGAGCCTTTTCTTTCCTTTTTTGATAAGGTTAGCTAAGGGTTTATCAATTTTATTTATTCTTTCAAAAAACCAACTCTTCAATTCATTTATTTTTTGTATCATTTTCTTAGTTTCCATTGCATTGATTTCTGTTCTAATCTTTATAATTTTCTCTCTTGTGCAAGCTTTGAGGTTTTCTTGCTCTTGTTTTTCTAGGAGTCTAACATTCATCGTTAGGTTGTTTATTTGAGCTCACTCTGTTTTCCTAGTGTGGGCATTCAGTGCTATGAATTTTCCACATAGAACTGCTTTCATTGTGTCCCATAGATTCTGTGTGTTGTATTGGCATTATCATTTATTTGTAAAAAAATGTCCAGTTTATTCTTTAATTTCCTCTGTGACCCACTGATTATTCTGGAGAGTGTTGTTCAATTTCCAAGTGTTTCTGAAGTTCTTACGGTTTCTTATGCTATTGATCTCCAGCTTGATTGCACTAAAATCTGATAATATATAGGGGATAACTTCAATTCCTTTACATTTATTTAAACCTGTTCTATGAGCTAGTTTGTGGTCTATCTTGGAGAATGACCCATGTGCAGCTAAAAAGAATGTATATTCTGATTTTATGGGGTGGAACACTCTATAGACATTTATTAAGTCCATATGTTCAAACGCTTGGTTCAGTTCTAGTATTTCATTGTTGATCGTTTTGCCTAGATGATCTGTCTATTTGTGATAGTGGGGTACTTAGATCCCCTGCTACAATTGCATTAGTGCTTATTTGGTTTTTCATGTTACTTAATATTTGTTTTATATAGTTGGGGGTATTAATATTTGGTGCATATATGTTTATGATTGTCATCTTTTCCTTTTGAATTGTCCCCTTTGCAAGGATGTAGTGGCCTTCTTTGTCTCTCTTAATCATTTTTGGTTTGAAATGTACTTTTTTTGAGAATAATATTGCTATCCCTGCTTTTTTCTGGGCTCCTGTTGTGTAGAGAATTGTTTTCCATCCTTTCACTTTCAGTCTATGGGCTTCTTTTTGCACTAGGTGTGTTTCTTGTATACAACATATTATTGGATTTTGCTTCTTTATCCATTCTGCCAGTCTATATCTCTTGATTGATGAATTGAGGCCATTGACATTGTTGGTTATAACTGCTATGTACTGACTTATTATTGTCATGTTATTGTCCTTTTGTTGACTCTTTTTACTCTTTTCCCTTCTCCTTTTAGTTTCGGGCCTTTCCTATTTCATTTGGTCTGTTGGTCCTCATGGTGTTGTGATCTTCATTGTCTTTTTCTAGGATATTGTTTAGAATTCCTTGTAGTGCTGGTTTGATGTTCATGAAGTTTGTCAGGTTTTCTTTGTCATGGAAGTATCTTATTTCCCCATCCATTTTGAAAGAGAGTGTTGCAGGGTACATCAGTCTAGGTTGGAGGTTGTTTTCTTTTAGGACTTGAAATACTTCACTCCAGGCTCTCCTTGCCCTAAGGGTTTGTGTTGAAAAGTCTGCTGTGATTCTGATGGGCTTTCCTTTGCATGTGATTTGTTTCTTTTCTCTTACTGCTTGTGTGAACAGCTTTCTTAAGTCATTTGTATTTTCTCCTGGTACATCATGGATTCCTATCAGTCTTATATTATTCTTCTTTACATCATCTAGGAGTTGTTGGATCAATTTCTTGTGATCCCTTACTGATTTTAAGAGACCCCTCTTTTCATGGTCACTGAGTCATTCCTATCTTCTGTATCTGAGATTCTATCTTTGCATTCTTTTATTCTTGTGTGAACACTTTCAATAGAGTATTTAATCTCCTGGATATCTGTTTGAATCTGTTTTATGGATTTCATTTCTTTCCTCTGTTGGGCATTCATTGTTTCCATTTCTTTCTTATGCTGGGCCTTCATGGCCTCTATCATGGTCCTGAGCTCCTCTATTTTTTTGTCGGTTTCTGTTCTAGAGTCTTGAATCATGACTTTCATTTTGTTCACCATCTCTATGGTTATCTGGGAGATTGTTTCTGTTTTGAATTTTTGTAGAGCCTGATTGATCTGTTTTGTTACTTTCTGTGCTATGAGTTCAGGGGGTCCTGCTGGTTCACTATCAGACTTTTCATCCTCCTTTGCCCTACTGTTTGCTGTTGGTAAACTGGGAGTCTGTCTTTGTGTCTTGCTTAAGTGTTTTCTCATTTTTACTTTTGTTGTTGGGTTGTCCCTGGTTTAATTTCTGGGTTATTACTCAAATCTTCCTGATATAGTTGTGCTTTAGCTTTTGAGTCTTCAATGACTCATAGACATTCTCATTTTCCCCATATCAGAGAAGACATCTCATCAAATCAGTCATAATCCTCTAGCCCAATTGATACAATCAACAACACAATAGGATTAAGCACAACCCACACATTGACCATTTGTGGTAGTCCTCAATTCATCACATTTAAACCATGTGAACCAAATTAAAATCAAGAAGCAACCCAAAATATGTTTGCAGTGAATATACTCTTGAACATAGCATCTTTACCATTTAGGATGGGGGCTTAGTCAGCGTTAGGGTGAGAAGAGTAGACAAGAAAAAGAGTTGAAGAAGTTTTCAAGTGAAGCCAGAGGCCACAGCATGACCCTACAATCTTTAAGAAACTGTTAAATTCAAAGGGGAAAGACAGAGTGCAAGAATAAGGACAAGAATATAGCCACTTAACAGCAATAAGGGCTCACTTTCATTTGAAACTATTGACCCTTGAGTGAGGTAAAATGACAGAAGAAAAGAACATAAAAAAGAAAAAATGATAAAAGAAGAAATTTGAGTTAGGGCAGGAGCAGAAACAGAAAAGGAGATGACGGATAATATGGTGGAGCAAGAGACTGAATTGGAGAAAGAGGACAGAAAAAAGAAAGAATTTTCAGAGTGGAATGAGGAAAAGATAGAAATGAATTTGACGGGACTCTTTCAGATTATACCTCTGCTGTCATAATATACAATGTGTGCAGCTATGTGCAGAACTAAGTCCCTTGATCTCAGCTAGCCAATGGCAGACCCCTGAGATTCAGACTGATTTTGGTCTGCAAGGCCCAAGTTGAGTTCCCTGACCTCCTGCAGGGTTGAACTCCGCAAAATTCTATTACAGGCTCCTTCTGCCCTTTCTTTGAAGATGCTTTAAGTCTGGAGCTCAGAAAAAATGCCCTTTATGACCACCTGTGCCTCTGCAGAGTGGATCCAAGGACTGGCACAATCAGGAGGCCTGAATGCAGGAGGGGGCAACGATGGGGGTGTTGCAGGGGTGCCCGCATGGCTATCTTCATTACTGGAGCTGATGATGGTTCAGGCAGGGGAGGGTGTGGCCACCCAGTCCCACTGACTGGGCCCAAACAGGCTTCCTTGCTGGCACTCTCTTCAGTTCATTTTAATATGTTTATCAGGGCCAAGGATTTAGCTCAGTGGTTCCACCGTCTGCCTCGCAAGCATGAGGACCCGAGTTCAATCCCTGGCACCAAAAAACAAAACAAAAACCAATAAAATATTTATCATATGCAAAGCATTTCTGTGCTCACAAATGGAAAAATACTAAGATGTATCTTAAGGAGTTAATAATTGGTATAAAAAATGGCCAAGTGGAAAGTAACTATAACTTAAAGGTTAATAAAATAAGTATAAGAAATTTGAATGAATGCACTGAGAAGAAAATCATTCATTCTGAGAGGAAATGAGGGGCCAAATTTAGGAGAACTACTTGAAAGTAGTCGTATATAAAATCTTTACATTGTTACTAAAATAATAATGGTTTCCTTTTGTTTTCTTAATAGACCAAGAATGCTGTTCAAGCTTTGATTGATAAGCACCAAAGAATACCAGGAAACATTATGAGTGCTTTGTTAGAACGTTTTCATAAAAAACAAAGGATCAATTAGAAGATGATTTAATATATCTATATTAATATGTTTGTGGCTGTGGTACTGTCTTTTGAATTTTATAGGTCTTATAGTTAGTATTTTTTAAAAAATCATGTTAATAAGCATCTTTCTTAGAATTTGTTTAAATTTATATTGTCAGTTTGTTTTGCAATCAATTGTCAAATTTAATCAGTAACTTATTACATACCTAAAAATTCAGAAAATGATCAGATTTCATTTGTAAATTCTAAATATTGTATTCTTAATAATGTATTAAAAACATATAGATTCTTGAAAGTAAGTTTTTTTAATAATAGCAGTTTAGGTTAAGCAAATATTCCTGAACAATGTATCGTAATTTCTGTATCCATTGGACAGAGCTGATTTTGAGAGAGGGTATAAACTAGGATTTAGCACAGTTGATGAGTTAGCAAAGAATGCTTTTATTTGTCCCTCTTTTGCTTCATGTTTTAGGGTGAGTCATGTAATGTTTTTGTCCCTCCATAATTTACTTCTTAAAAACATGATAATATTATGAAGATATTTTTGTTTACCTTTCTAAAAAATTAGTTTTATTGGTACATTTAGGTATACAATATAATGACATCATTGGAAATTTGCACCTTTACATAATCTATCTTGGTTCTCATTTTTTAACTTTTTTTTTTTTTTTTGAGACAGGGTTTTGCTAAGTCGCTAAGTTGCCTGGGCTAAGCTCCAACTTGCTGTTGTCCTGCCTCAGCTTCCCAGAGTACTGGGATTATAGGTTTGCACCACTACACCTGCCTAGAATGTTGCTATTTAACTTGTTTATATTTACTGCAATTGATAATTGTCAAACCAGAATTATAACTGAATTAATTAAATAACACCAAAATCCTCTAGGAGATATGTAGGTATTTTACCCATCAGATGTTCAAATTATTTCCATAGGTGTGATGTCCAGTTGCCAAGCACAGTGGAAAAGATGTACTGTTTTGCAAACCAAATAAAAAGAAATTAGGTAAATTATAATTTCTAATTGTTATTTTTATAATTTATTATATTTTTAACAAGAGCCTGTAAACAAACTATAGGGTGCATTGTTAGCCCTGTAATACAACGTTTAATAGCGCAAGAATAAAAATCACTATCACACTCTGTTTTCCACATTAGAATCTGATTCTAGGTTGAGGAAAGCAAAACTAAAGAAAGTTTTGCTTTTGGGTGATCTTGTGACTCATTCTGTTTGACTTTGAAACCAGTCAAATGGCATATTGTTTTAAAAAAATACACACTTAAACAATAAATTTATGTGAACACAAAGCCCTCTAAAAGTTAATGGCTTTTGAATTGTTGTCTTCTTGAAGATTAATTTTTAAGAGTATCTAATTTAAAAAGTTTCAAAAAATCAAATGGAGTATCTCCTCTCCTTTTTAGATGTTAAAGTACTTGTGTTTTATATAGATTTTTGTATTTCAAATGTATACTTATGTGTAATGTATATAAAATTAATGTAAAATAAAAATAAAACAATTGCAGTTCAATTTCTTCTGAAATTGTATATGTGATATTTTCTTAATGTTTTAAACTGATTTTTAATTTTGTTCTGCACACTTCTAATCAACAATCATGTCTCAACCACAATGAATAAACCTTACTTTTCAATGTAGTAAATACATTTCAGTGAAAAAAGTCAATGTGTAGATTGGATTTTTCTATTTCTAAAAATAAAACAAAACAAAAAAAACCTGAGGATTTGAAAGACATCACACTGAATCTGTAGATTCCTTTTGGTAGTATTGTCACTTTAACAATATTAAGTTCTTCAATCAATGAAATGGGATGTATTCCATTTCCCAAAGAAATTTTTAATTTCATTGAACATTTTATTGTTTTGTATATAACTGTTTCATCCTCTTTATTATATTTATCCTTAAGTATTTTATTCTTTTTCGTGCTATTATATATGGAATTGTTTTCTTATTTTTTAGTTGTTCATTGTTACTGTATAGAAATGCAATTTCATTTTGTTGATTTTTATATTAACTTTGCTGAATTTGTATATTAGCTATAACCGTTTTTTGTTTGTTTTTCTAAGTTTATTGGTACATTTTAGGTATACAGTACAGTTACATTCATCATTGGGATCTTGTACCTTTACATGACAGATCTTGGGTGTAATTTTTTCCCCATACCCTTGCCCTCCCTTCACCCCCTCCTCCCTTCCTTATTTATAAAATCTTTATTTCCATTTTTTTCATTTTCTCATATGTTTTTCTTTTCCCTTATTTCCTTTCCCCTACCCGTCCCACTTCCCCTACAGCTTTAGCCTCTTTCTTCCTATTTCACATTATAACAGGTTTTTTATTGTGTGTGCCTGGAATCTATATATGGAGTTTTCAACTTTTTAAAAAAATTCATTAAGTTTATTGGTACATTGTAGGTATACAATATGACATTCATCATTAGAAATTTGTAACTGTATATGATATATCTTGGTTCTTACCCCATTTCCCTGCCCTCCCTTCCACCCCTCTATTCCTCTCTACAAAAACTTCGTTTCCATTTTTTCATATTTATTCCTTTTCTTTCTCCTTTGGGCCTTATATTCCTACTTCACATTATCTATTATACATTTTAATCCTTACTTACACTTTTAGTTTCTCACACCAGAGAAACTATTTAGTGTTTACACACGTGTGTCCTATTTGTTTCACTTAAGAGTATGGGCTCAGTGTGCATCCATTTAGCTTTAAATGTCTGTAGTTTCTCATTCTTTATGGCTGAGTAGAATGGAGTTTTCAACTTTTAAGGTCATGTTATCTCTTAACAGATATAATCTTATTATCTTATTTCTGATTTGGATACATTTTATTTTTCATTCTTGAATAATACTTCTGGCTAGAACTTTTTTTTTTTTTTTTTTTTTTGAGACAGGGTCTCACTGTGTAGTTGAGACTGACCTGGAACTCACTATGTAGCCCAGGCTGGTCTCGAGCTCACAGTGATCCTCCTGCCTCAGCCTCCCAAGTGCTGGGATCATAGGCATTCGCCATCATGCCTGGCTGGATAGAACTTCTGGTATTACCTTGAATAGATGTGGTGAAAGCATGTATCACTGATTTTGATTACTTTTTCATTTTCAAGGTGATACCTACCTGTATGAATATAATTGAAAGAGTTGTAAAAATTGTCAGAATAAAAATGGAGTAATTTGTGTTAATTTTAATTAAAACATAAATAAATTAGCTAGCAGCGTGGTGCACTCCATAATCCCAGCATCTGGGAGTCTGAGGCAGGAGATTGCTGTAAGTTCAAAGTCAGTTTCCACTATAATGCTGAGTTCAAGGCCAGCCTGAAATGTGTAGTGAGACTCCATCTCAAAAAACTAACATGAAAGAAATGGAGAGAGAGAGAGAGAGAGAGAGAGAGAGAGAGAGAAGCAAGCTATGAAGCTGGGAGGTTATGAAGCAAGGGTTCTCATACCTGAATGCTTTATAGTAACTATCACAAAAGACTGCCAGAATCACAACCTTATAGAAAGGCCGCTACAATCTTATACAAAAAATAGTTCTGCAGAGACAATTGTTCAACTTCAGACTGACACCACTCTTGTTATTAATCCTCATGACCAAGGGATTATTGTTTCAGAATACCTTATGTAACCCTCTTTATTATTTTCCCTTAAAGTTTTTCCTTGGCCTCAGCCTCCTAGAATACACTCAGTTTATTTATTTCATTTCATTTATTTGATACTGGGAATCAAACTCAGGACCTTGCACTTGGGAGGCAGGCACGGTGTCACTGAGCTAAATCTCTGGCCCTAAGCTTATTTTATTATGGCATGTATATTCTCATTGTAATACTGTTCTCAAATAAATATTGTATTTTAAAGAATCTCTCTGATTACTGTTTAGATTGACAGAATAGAAATGAACCAATAAATCTCTTCCATATTGCACACACTGACTTCCACACATCAAATTGGCTTGTATAGTGTCTTTATGGTATTAGCATAGATTGTAATTCAATATCTGTGAACACATTTCTTTTGGGCAACATATTTAATTCATTCTTTT